CTCGTTATGCAATTCGTATATTGTATATATATGAATGCATTTGTTTTATATTATCTTGTTATCATGCCCTAACAATAACTTACAGTAATAACATTGCTCCTGTTTCTTTATCCCTTCCAATCAATTATTCTTAGGTAACTTTGCACAAATGAAATACTAGACATCATTTCTTCTTTTTCCCTTGGATCATTTTTTAATTTCTTCCCAAATACAATTGGTCAAATGAATAATTAATTAGTTGCAAACAAAAATAATCAAACATGATGGCATATTGTGAACTTCTCATGAACAGTAGAACCGCTGTTGGATGACTGAATAAATGCTATCAGCCTCCTGCTTGGCTTATTTGGTGTTTTGGTGTTGTGTGTGTGTGTGTGTGTTTTTTTTTTTTTTTAAATTGAAAGTTTCCGCATCCTTTAATTGAGGTTGTTGCTATTTAAACACTGGACATGCTGTGCAATTCACTATATGGACTTCTTGAATGATCATGCTGCCATGATGATGTTGAAATAGGATTGATATAATATACCATTGGCTCTCAAAAGACTGTCATTATTCTGCTATTAAAGAATAATTAATTTGTCAAGACTGTCAATTTCCTTGATCTGTACCATACAACAATTAGCTTGTGTTTAGCTCATGTTTATAAACTATTTATGAATATTGAAGCCATTTTTACCCTCCCACAAGTACTACCCACTTATCTACCACTCATTTTTATGTATTTATAATTTAAACCGTTAATAAACATTTCACTATTTTGCTTTAGTGAAAATGGCCCAATCTTCATCCCTGTATGTCTGCATTCTCATGAGTCTGTTAATACCCTTCTTCAATACACTATTTTGAAATGTGTGGGTGATGATGCATTTGTGTTGTGATCTTTAAGCATGAGATCTTGGTTGAAATTTTGAAATACCTTTTGAAATATTATATATTTGTGAGCATGTGTTAGTGTCTGTCAGTTGAAGAATTTGAAATACCTTTGAATAGAGGGCATCATTCTGTTTTTTACTTTCAACGTCATAGTACGAACTAAAATAAACCTTATTTGGTGGAAATTTTTTATTTTACTTATAATTCCATAAAATTTTGTATTCTTATTTTCCATGTGCTTTGGTCTGCAGACAGGAGGTTTTACTCTTCGACAATGAGATTTCCTTCAATGAGGCCATTATAGAGGAAAGAGAGCAGGGTATAAATGAGATAAAGCAACAAATTGGTGAAGTGAATGAGATTTTCAAAGATCTTGCTGTGCTAGTTCATGAGCAAGGAGCTATGATTGGTAATTACTTGCATTGCATTAAATTTACACATCGATCTACCAACGACATAACTAACGAGTAATCCTTCTCTTCTTCCCAGATGATATTGGTTCCAACATTGAGAACGCTAATGCTGCAACTGCACAGGGGAAATCCCAACTTGTCAAAGCTTCTAAGACCCAAAGATCAAACTCGTCCTTGGTGAGTTGTAGAACACTGGAAGTAATTATCTTATTTATTATGACAAAAAATCGATTGCACAGGCTTAAAATAATCTTTGGCCTTAGTAGAAGTGAGAGCTTAAAAAGATTAACACCTAAGACTAATGAAAGAGAAGCTGAAGTCTTTTCTATACTACCGTAGGCTAAACATGTTTATTTGACTGCTACTGTTTGTTCAGTATTTCTGCAACAGGTAAAAAATAATGGTAGTCAAATTTTAGAGAAGTTTCGTGTTATCTTCAAACTTCTTTTTCTTTTCAAAGTGACGTTAAAGCTAGCCTTTTGTTTCTGTTAGACCTCTTGGTTAAATCACTGTTTTTTGGTGGAATATCCAATTAGAAGCCTTACACGTTGATGTCAAGCCACATATTCCATGAAAAACCAACGGATTTTAACCAAGTGTCCAAAGTGAAACGAAAACAAACTTCATGACCACATCAAATCAAAAAAGAGTTCGGTGACTAACATGAAACTTCATTATAAGTTCAGTTACCATCAATGGTTTTTAACTCCTCTTAAATCTGGTTCTGGAGAATTCCTTCAAATGATTTTCATTTTGTTATTGGGTTATATTCTGTGATATACTTGTGTGAAGATACAATATTGATGACCAAAGGCATGTCATTGGTTGCTTTATTCTAGTGTCAAAATGCATTTGCAGCACAATATTACAATCAAATCCAGGATCTAGAAAAAAATAAGTGAATGTTCACATGTTCTATTATCCTATGTGATGCGAGGAAAAAGTAACAAAGGATAATAATGAGGAAATATATACTGTCTTGGAGACAATTCATTCTCCACACAGAAGGCTTCGGAAAGTCTTGGACTTGTTTAACAGCCCTCATTCTTCCCCATCCTTTAATGTGATCCCCCCTCAAACCCATCTTTACCCTTTCCCTCATACAAGTACTCTCTGTACTCTATTTTCAGATGCAATTACGGGGAATGTCATTTTTACTAGGAACAAGGTAATAGGGAACTGGAACTCTGTCCTAGGAACAAGGTAATAGGGAACTGAAACTCTGTCCTACAAAGATAAGCTTATTTCTATTTTCATACGGATTAAGAAAATATAATTAATATAGTTAGAAATATAAATTTTTCTTATATTTTTCCTAGTATATTTTTACATTAAATAATGGTTTAAATATGCGTGTAGTTCATATTTGTAGATAACAAGACACATTAAATAGGGTTTATATTAAAAAACTAAGAAATCGACTATACTATGAACAAGGAAAGTGGTTTATAATTTGGGATAGATGAAAAAGGTAAGAAAGCCTATTTTTATGGAGTTGTGCTACACTTACAAACATGGTTTACAAAGTAACTTGACAAAATGACATTCGCACTAATCATTTCAAAAACAGGTTTTTAAATCATTTGAAATCGATGGCTTGGATTTTACCAACCCATTTTTTGTCAACCAATTTTGTAAGGGAACTTTGTACAAGTAGAATTATTGATTTTTATGGGACAAAGTACTATTTCCTTTTCCCATGGTTACACGTGTACATCAACTCCATTAAATACAATTGTTTCTGTGAACGTATACAATAAATAAAGATTAACATCGACAGTGTGTTTCTTGCAGACTTGCTTACTCCTGGTGATATTTGGCATAGTGCTTCTCATAGTGATTATAGTACTTGCAGCCTAGTCAGTGGAGCTCTTAAATGCAGTCAAAGAGACTCGAGGAGATGGTTTAAGAAATCTTTTTTTTCTGTTGATCTTTGTGGTTTCAAGTCGTTTTACAGTGTATCTCTTTCTTTTAAAGTGTGTTGCTTCTTAAACAAGGGGCTTTGTGACAAAATCTATATGGTTTCACTATAAAGTTAATCTGAATTATTTGCAGCGTGGGAGATTGCGTGTTCAATTTGTATATTGGTGTTCCAATTTCTGGATCGTTGATTGCCATGTCATGCATGGGAATTGTCAATAAAGTTGGATTATGGTTTGGATCACCTTCTTTGTATTTTGCAATGAAATTTCAGTCTTCATGAACAGCCAGTCTTTTGGGTAAGTCTCGACTGTTGTCGACCTTATAGAAAGAAAACTGTTTCTTGAATGTCTCGTACCTGTGTCATTTCATCGTAAAAATCTGCAGATCTATTCGATTTATCTTGGAAATTTTTTTACTTCAAAACCGAATTTAGCTCGAATATTATGCTATTGCATTGTGTGTTTAACTGTGCATGGCTTTGCAATCGGGTCGAATTACATAGCCCTGTACCATTTTTCATTGACCACATAATCTCATCAATTCTTTATAAAGGAAACTATGGATATCTTTGGTGAACATTTGGACACGTCTCGTGCTTCCAGTTGTGAAGTCTACCCTATTAATCCCACAATCGATAGTGTAATCGAATTAAATTTTATTGTTACATCTCATTTACAACTGGCTTCTACAAATTTCAGTTCAAAACTTTAAATTCTATTCAGACAAAAAACAGTACATCAATGTGTTCATCTAAAATTTTACCTAATAATTCCATGAAAAGTTATCTTTAATCCAAATGCTACATCTAAAAAGCTAATGCATTAAGAATCATTCAAACAAAAAAATTGTTTATAAATGTTTCAGCTCATCAAAAAATTGTGTTATGTGAATGATAAATAGAAGTCTTGACAATTAGAAGAGCTGAAACAATAGCAGAGAGAAACGTTACAGCAGATACGACTCCTGCATGTTCCTTAATACCACAAGGTACCTCCCATATGATAGGACTGGCTTTATAATCGACATCATCGTTCTTTAGCATAAATGAACAGCTCCCGTCGAATGCCTTTCCTTCAAAGCTACAACGCATCAATAAATCAGGTTGCCCAAATTCAACTTTTGAAAAGCCATGTCCTAGTGGCTGCAAAGCATGAACTCATTGAGTCAGAGACCTAAAAGTGTATATTTAGGCCCCCGTTTGATTCACATTTTTTGGCCACAAAAATTAAAAATATAATCGTTATTCTTCACAACAAGTCACCATATTTAACTTTCTATCTTTTGTGTGGATCTCGTAGCGGCTATATTTTCATTCTTATTCTTAGAAAAATGGGAATCAAGCGAAGCCTTAACATGTTCAATTAGTATAAAAATGGTAAGTGAAGACAAAAGGAAAAAGACCATATGCGAAAACCACAACCGGGTATGTAGTAAAATTTTGCCCCAACAAAAGATTAGATCCTCCTAGGGAGATTGACTAAAATATTTACAGAGCATGAAATCTTGCCCTTGTTTTTGATAACTAAAAGCCATTCAAGTCACTAACCGCATATCGTGCATGTAGTGGAAGCCGAAGGTTGATTTTGAGTTCATCCTTGACTCCTGATGACATGTTATAGCCCATGTCCAAGTGAATTTCAACCACTGATCGATTTGACCGAAATGAAGGCAGTTCTAAATTTGTGTCACCAAGAACAGCTACATCTGTGAATACTGTAACACATAAAGCAAACCTATTAAACCGCAAGGATGGACAATCAAATTCCTCTAAAATCTGAGAAGGTTATTACCACCACGATGGACAAGATGTTGCAGCTCAAATGGATCTGCAAAGCCTCCAGAGGGTAATTTTTCAATGATTATAACTTGACAAGACTGAGCAGGAAGCTTAGATTTTGATTCTCCCTGCATTTTGATTCTGATAGACGAAGAAAGCTGACGATGAGAGCCTACGCCAATTAAATTTCGATGCATAGCCAACAGTCTGGGCACAAAATAGCGTTCATCTTGATGCACGTCGCACAAACCTAGTGGAATTTTGTTTGCTATAAATTCTTCAAATTGTGAATCTATCAAACTATCATGTATCTTAAAATATGTCTTTGTAACATATTTCTCTCCGAAACATTTCTGCTCCTGAAAAAACAAGCAAAAACCAACAGAAGTTCATTCAATACACCATATAATGAGTATCAGCCTCTCATTGGCAATAAAAATATTTTAATGTCACTAAAATAACAAGAAGATATTTAAGTATTGCTTGACAAAATTGATAAGAATCAAACACAAAAGTAAAGAACAATGTCCAATCAATTACAAAACAAAATCACCAACGTTCGAGAGCCATTGGAAGCAAATATGGCAATATATGCAAAGGCATATTTCATATATTCAAATTATCAAGACTCTCCTCATAAACTATTGCATCATTTAGGAATTATTCATATCATTCATTTTATTTTGATTTACTATCATTACCATCAGATGCGCCCCTATCTAAGAATTGTAATACTGCTAATTGTAGTTGTAACTCCACTGAATCCTATACAAAGAGCTGTTTATCCAAATTACAAAATTCGTTTGGAATCAGTGGTAAAACCATAACTAACACAAGAAAGCTTCATAGTCATTAGATCATAATTCACTGTTCATACCAAAAATGACCCACCAAAACAAGAGATTAACAAACCAGCAAAATGGTACACTCACCTCATGAGTAGTAGGCATTGCATTGCTACTCATGACCAGAAATATCAATCCAAATCCTATTGCCAAATACAATTGTACTTGAAAATGTTGAACTTCCATGGCATATCTGTATGAGGGAAAAGAAATTCTTCTAATTCAAAGGGGATCACAGAATGCTGAGATAAAGTAATTCCTTAGCTATTGAAAAATATCCATGATTTTCCTTAATTATTCTTGATTGGGATACCAAAATAAACCCTAAGTAAGATAAAGCATTCTGGGAAAAGGGATCAAGAAAATCATTTTCTCATCTACACATATCAGAATGGTAATCAAGATATGGGTGGATTCTAGTAGTGGCAATTTACTTCTCTTAGTCCATTATATTTATGAAAATTCAACTCATTTTCAAAAACAGCAGATCAATAGTAATATATGTGATTTATGATAGAAAAACTAGATGTAGAGATTTTACCAGAGGATACTTTCCTACAATGATGATGAAATATCGAAACTTTAATGTAGAAATGCAAAAAAAAAATCAGGGGCTACTGTGGCGCAATAATAGTGACTGGGTATGGGGATCTAGCGGGGAAGAAGAAGACAATGAATGAGGTTATCTCTATAGGTAGGGCTGTGCTGGGCTGAGCTGAAGGTTAGAGAAATTCTTCGCCGGCTACGGTGGTGCCTGGTGGACTGGTGGGGGCGCCGGTGAGGTGTGGGTTAAAAGTCTCAAGAAGAAGGGTCCAAAATCTCAGTTGAGGAATTCCCGTAAGTTTGGTAGGTTGGAGATGAATTAGTAAGAGTCGCTAATGTTGAGGACCAAATATGCAATTTTTCTAACTTGAACCTTTGAAATCGAGCTCCTTGCTTCGACTGAAGTATATAACATAATGAGCAGTGTGGGTTCGGTGACGTCATCGCCGGCGAGATCATCCATATCGGCGTCTTTGGTGGGACCATCATCGGTGGCGGCGGCAGTTGGCGGAGATGATTTTCACTTTCCGGCTGATCTTATCTCCATTCAGGATCGAAAAGACGAGGCCCTTCGCGGTCAGTATATTATTCGTCTCACACATTTTCCTTACTGTTTATGTAAAAGATTTCTATTAGGTTTTCACTTTCTACAGCTGTAGTTGCGATAATTAGTTCTAAATTATCGTGTGGTTAATTGCAAATAATTCATCTATCTAAATAAGCATGGTTTGATTTGATATTGCTGTAGATTTTAAGAGAATTAGCTTCAGCTATGCTGAGAATTTGGCTAACATTTATTTCGGAATTGTTATATGTTTCTCAATCTCAGGTTATTAAGAAACAACATTCTAATAAATCCATTTGTAGAATA